GCACACCTGTAGTCCCAGCTACTCAGGAGGCTGAGGCAGGAGGATCGCTTGAGCCCAGGAGTTTGAGGTTCCTGTGAGCTAGGCTGATGCCATGGCACTTGCCCTGGCAACAGAGTGAGACTCTGTCTCAAAAAAAAAAAAAAAAAGAAAGAAACTGAAGCTCAAAAGAGGTTAAAGGACCTGTCCAAGAGATGGGCTCTATATTTGAACGCAGGCAGCCTTGACTCAGAGCCTGCACTGTTAACCAGTCATTACACTATGCTGTCACTGCTACCAGAACCTAAAATTAGTACTGTTTCTTGTCTTTACAAGTATTGTAGTAAGATAGCTTTATATAGAGTATACACCATCATGTTTTATTATCTGAATAAATTACATTTTAGAAAAGCAATGCTATATAGTAATAACATTCATCAGGTGTTGGGCAGATGGGAGTGGGGAGGAGGGGATGGGTATATACCCACCTAATGGATGTGGTGTGCACCGTCTGGGGGATGGACACGCTTGAAGCTCTGACTCGGGTGGGGCAAGGGCAATATATGTGATCTAAACATTTGTACCCTCATAATATGCTGAAATAAAAAAAAATTAATAAATAAAATATATAAAACACAAGCAAAAAAAAAAAAAGGAAAAGCAAGGCTTCCCTATTAAATCTTATGGTAAAGCATACAATTAATTTATTCATGCTGACTGTTGCAAAGAACTCCATTTTTGGATCCCCAAAACTGGGGTTTGGCTTCTGAATCTGCCATGTAATATATTCAGCATAGTATAATGAGAAAGAACTCCGGCTTTAGAGTCAAACAGACCTGTTTTGAGTCCAGACCTTGCCACTTATTAGCTGTATAACTTTGTGCAATTTGCGCATCTCTAAAATGGGGATAAAAATAGTATCCACCTAATGGATTAAAATTACTTTAAAATATATATATATATATATGTAAAGCAGTTGGCACATAGTAGGTGTTATTGGTTTATCTTACTCGGAGGGTCATTTTAAAGAACAGTAAACTAGAAAAGCAAAGTACTGTTCAGAAATGGACTAATTTTAAACAAATTTTCCTTGTAGCATCCTATATCAAGATGGATCGCACGTACTTTCTATGATTGTCCTGAAAAGAATTATGAAAGAACAATGGCTATCCTTCACATTGAAGCTGAAAAGGCTGAATTACGGTAGGACAGAAGAGGGGGTGGGTGGGGAAGAAAATCCTTTCCTGGGGTTACAGATCACAAGAAAAAAAATTAATAAAACTATTTCAGCACTACAGGATGCTCTATGTAAAAGGATAAAGCTAGGAAAGAGAGTTACCTGTTCAGAGTGAAGATTATGAACTGGTGACAAGGATACTGTTAGGAGATATCTGTCAGATTAAAAGGAATTCTTTTTAAATTCTTTTTAAAATATTCTATTCTTATGTACAGGGAAACCCTGTCCCCCCCCACCACCACCAATTTCCTTCCCTCCCACACCTAGTCTCATCCTTAAAAGAGACCCCTATTTAACAATTTATTATATGTTCCTATAAAAAATTTTACATGTTAAAAAATATATTTTTAATATCATTTAAAAATTATATTAATACCAGTTATTAATATATGCCTATACATGAATTTGTGGAGGGATGATATTATACTTTACATAAAATCAAAAGTCTCTCGAGTGGTTGTTCTTTATGGAGATAATCCATTAAATTTGTAATTGGAAGTGCTGGATCACAATATTGCTTTTCCATTTGTTATAGGTTAAAGGAACTGGAAGTACGAAGATTAATGCGTCAGAGAGGAGATGGACCCTGGTATCAATATCCGACCACTGATAAGTCACTTATTGACCATTCTCCAAAATCGAGTCCCGACAACTAATCATTTGTTTCTTCAAATACAAAGTATATTCTCTGATGGAAAATAAATAAATATATTCTGTATTTTTGCTCTCTGATGAATAAAAGAGCTTCTTCCATTACTCTGTTTCTCAGTGTTGGTTCAGTCAGATTTTGGTTCCGTCAGCTTTTGATTATGGAGTTTCAGCTTCCTCTTTTAAGAATATGTAAAATGTAGGCCGGGCGCAGTGGCTCAGGCCTGTAATCCTAGCTTTCTGGGAGGCCAAGGCGGGTGGATTGTTTGAGCTCAGGAGTTTGAGACCAGCCTGAGCAAGAG